TTAATATCCAAAGGGCATGTTATAATTTTAAAAATGAAAGGATTTTGCACAGATATAAATGGGCAGAAAAATCTGTCTCTGCTGCCTTGTAAAGGGAAAGGCTGTGACAAAAAACACCTGCATGGTCACAGGTGGGCAGCAAACCTGCCTGAAATGTGAAGGTGTGAAGGTGTTTTGTTTTGTTTTGTTTTGTTTTGTTTTGTTTTGTTTTCACATCAGTGTGTGTGTCATAAGTTGCTTGTTTCTTGGGTTTTCCTTATATTGTAAAATATGTGAGTTCAGTTATACAAAATCAACTCTTGAAGATTACATCTAGGAAAAACATCCTCAACATTTCCAATCCATTTCTGTTTGATGCCAAATACCACTTTGGAAAACGGTACCTACTTACAAGGACTATTTCTCAACTATCCTCGTGATTTGAAACTACATCAATTCAAGCTTTCTTTGGAGTTAAACTTATTCTTTTGTTTCTTTTCAATTTCAAGTCAACAGAGAAGTTTCAAATACAGAATGAGAAATTTCCCCCTGTGAAACATGTGAGAATTAGTTGCTAACTTGATGACCCACTGCCCTGGAAAACATTACTCTGTTTCCTACAAAGGAAATGTCTTCACATCATCCCATACTGACATTAAAATTCAGGAATTACCATTTATATCTTACCACCTCATCTCCACACCCTATCTAAGTTTCAACAAAAGTCCTTATATGTGCTTTCTAGCAACAGATTCCAGCTCAGAATCACACCTTGCTGTTAGCTGCCAGTTGTCTCTATTCTTCACTCTGGAACAGCTTCAATCTCCTGACATTTATGGCCCTGAAACTTAAAAGAGTTCCAGAACAATTGTGTTTAATACAATTAGAATCTGAGTATGCATGCAGACAACTTTGGAAGAAAGACTGCAGAGGTAATACTTTATTCTCATTGAATCCTATCAGACACAATTCATTATTTATTTATTGAATTCATTTATCTGTTACTGACAGTTATCATTCTGATCATTTTATTAATTGGTTAATAGCAGGTTATTCCACTATCTAGTTATTCTGTTTCCCTTTTTTATTAATGCAAGTATTATGGGAAGTTATTTTGAAACTGTTATTCCTTGTGCAACGTCAAATTTTCAATTGACTTACTTTCATTGAGTAGGTACTCATGAATTCCTGTATCAGTCAATGAATACTAACACATTAATATCATTATCACTATGTTGATGTTCAATTTGTCCTAGATTTTGTCCCATGGGCATCTCTTCACTTTGGTTTCTATATTCTGTTGACATTACTCACCCACAAATTTATACTTAGGCATCTATTTATATAGATATGACAGTTAAAATCATGAATTCACCTTAGTGCTGAAACTGCACAATATCTTTATTTATTTATTTTTTTATTTTATTGCATAGAAGAACTGGCATGTAGACCAGAGGTGCAGGGGTTAAGGAGATTTACCAGATAGAGTAGGTAACAGAACAGATGGATTTGTTGAAATACACTGCTAAAGGGAGCCACGGGTAAGATAGGAGAGGTCTTGCTGTGGCATATGTGGGTCAGATCACTGGCCTGCAGACCCAGGTCATAGCAGGGACAGTGCTGAGACTTAGACAGTAGGCCACCAGGAAGGCCCTAATTACAGAAGATTTATTCTATTTCTCTCATTCTTTATTTCCTCCATCTCTAGAGAAAATCCTGTATCCTATTTTCTTTACTACATTCTTACACAATCAATCCTCTCTGTAACCAATCTCCATTGCTGCTGCCATTCCTGGTCCCAAAGGGATGTCTTCCTCACCCACTCAGGCTCCTCTGCCCTGCATGCCTGCTATCTTCTACGCTCTACCTCCATCCATGCCCTGATCAGGACTAGACACATGCCAACCCACCACTGCACAGAAGTCCTTGTCACTTTGCAGTGCTGACACCATCACAGACTGCCCCTTCACTGTGTCTACGTGAACCTCTCCAAAAAGGAAGAGAGCAAGAGAAGAAGAGGCAGAAGAAAAGTCAGAGAAACTAATTCTGAACAAATGTTTATATACTTTTTAAGGTGATAATAAAGGTAGGATCAAATTGTTGAAATACAATCCTATTAATGATAAGCTTTTCATTAAATAGTTCAAAGACTTAAAAAGCAAAAATCTAACAATTTTAGTTAGACTAGAACAATGCCAGGTACATGTAGGTGTATGCGTAATATTTATTCAAACAAACAGTGAGCACTAAACAGTTGCTGAGGGGGTGGAGTGGCAGTATGGAGACAGGGTGATCAAGGAAGCAGGTAAGCCAAGAGCTCAAAACACTAGAAGTGATTATTTCATTTGATCATTTCAAGGACCCCATAAATGTTTTCCAAAGATCAACATGACCTATTCTCTCAATTTGTTCCACATGAGAGTCTGACTATTCCCATTTTCATAATACTCCTCCGTAATGGTCCTCCTTCACAAAGATATTTTTCACTTCATGTTTCACTGAGACAGCCTAAAACTTAAGGTGAGTTCCTGTGCCTGATTTTACTCTAGGACTCAAACTGCCACCTCTTCAGCTCAAATCAAGCATTTAGAGTTACAAACTGTGCTCTCTGTGAGTCCAGCCAAACTTTTAGACTTACATCATTCATTATCTCAGAAAGACAACTGAATATTTTATATACAAAAACAGGTTTTGAAATCACACTGAACAATGCTAAATTTCCTGCTCTACTGCTTAATTATGTGTACCTGGTAACTACCTCCCTAGTTCCAATTTCCTGATCTGAAAGTCAAGAACAATAAGAGGTAACTCATAGGGCTATAAACCGCATGGTGCAATACCTGTTGCGGTTACACACAGTTGTTATGTAGTAAATACGATAAATTATAATCATTTGAATGCTAAAATCTGACCCAATGTCTTAGGTTTATAGACTACTTTTTTTAAAGTCTAAGTGGTTTAAACATCTTAAAAATTAATGTTCTATAAACCCCACAATGCTGTTTAGCAAAGAAATTGCATCTCATGGCAATCAATAGAGAATCTATAAAATAAAGTGAGGTAACTTTATAATTTTTCATTCTGGCTTCAAATGAGATACCAACTTCCTGCCTTTTATATGGTACATTTTCTCATAACTTTAACATAAGTGGAGTAGACAGGACAGGACTTACACTGGGTACACACACAGACATTTGTCATGTAACTGCATCCCATTTATTTACATTTTATTAATTATTCATGCGCTTCCAATTTTTTTTTCTCTTTAGTAGTCATCTCTGAAATGTAAATGTAAAACTGACTCCCTGATGCTAAGAGAATAAATATCTATCCACTTTCTAGAGCTTGTCATTTTAAAGTCATGTTTTTATGTTTTTTGTTTGTTATATTTTGAAAGTACAGGTTTATTAGGAAAAGGAGAAAGGGGAGACTATGGCCATGGTTTTCAACTAGCTTCAGATCACAAGATTAAAATCACATGGGAGCTTTTAAATTCCTAATGTCCAGGCTGAATCCCAAGTCAATTGAACCAGAATTTTTTTTTTTTTTTTTTTTTTTTTTTTTTTTTTAGGGTAAGACACGGGTATCAGTATTTTTTTTTTTTTTTTTTAGTAAAGTTCCCTGGTAATTCCAACAGCCAGACTGGGAACCAAAGTTCTGCAATATCCTGAAGTGAAAGATGGATGAACAGGGGTTAGATGATTACAGGAGAGCCCAGTGGGAGAAAATACCTTAACAATTCTTTATTAAGTGGTATAAATGAAAAAAAAAAAAAAAAAGACTTGTGGCTAAGAAATGCTGCAAAGAACTTTAGAAACTTCAGCAAGCCAAAATGTTTTGTCTGTGTTGTTACAACTAGGTCTTTTAAAAAACATATATAAAAAATGCATCATTCTTTACTTTCCCAACTTTATAGCATATTACCAAAAAAGTCTACATGTTACCAGCTCATGAAAATCAACTGCTTTTTAATTTTTTTTTAATTATTGTTTTGTATTGAAGAAGAGGGTGTAGGTCGGGGTGCAGGGAGTCAGCATATTCACCAGAGACAGAGTGGGGGGCAAAACAGGCAGATTTACTGAAATACACTCCTGAGGGGGTGCAGTAGCCAAGACAGGAGAGGTCTGCTGTGTCATATGAATGGGTTAGAGAGTGCTGAGACTTAACCTTTAGGTCATCAGAGGGGCCCAGTGAAAACAAAGTTCTATGAAAGGATGCATCAAATTAATTACTGATGGCCAATATTTGCCAGCTTGAGAGGTGGTCTGTTATCCTAATTGGCTGCTAACACCTTAACATTTACAAAACAGAAACTTCTTAAAGCAGGTTCAACGGAATACTTGCTACATAAAGAACAATTATAAACAGGTGAAACTAAAATGGCCAAGGTGGTGTAGGGTTTGGAAATATTCTGCACATAATTTCCTTTTTCAAAGTGTCAAAGCAACAAACAGCAAAAGCTTTTGTTTTCAGAGACCACTGTGTAAACACAAACACAAACACACACTATGAGGTCTAAGACTTTACTTGTTAAGTTGTTACTATTTCAACCAAGTTCTTAAAAAAAAATCTTCAAAGCCAATCACCCGCCAGGAAGAGGAGGTGATATGTAAGCCCTACTATGTATGCAAGTGAAAGGGTTTGGGGACCATGCTTTGCAGAAACCCTGCTACTTTACAGAAAGAGGGGCCAACTCTCTGCCTCGCCTGGGCCCCGCACCCTCATATCTACCGCCCTCTTAAGACCTATTATTACCCTCGCTCCGGTTTCACTGGTCACAGTTCCTTCAGATCCACGCCCTACTAGCTAAGGCGCCTCGATCCTCCCAGGCCCCCAGGCACAGCTTAGGTGACCCAAGAGTGGCCAATAGAAAGAAGCGGCCGCCGCTCCCCAAGCGCACCCGCCGTAGTCAACATCCCGACGCCTCTCCGCAACATCCCGTGGCCTCGGCCCGCGGGATTGAGCTTTGTGAGCCCCGGCCAGCGCGACCCCGCCCCTCCTCCGCCCTGCACCCATCACACCTGAGGGATGGTCGTCCGCCCAGCTCAGGGGCGCCACGGAGGCTACGAGGCACAGGAGGAGCAGCGGAGCGGGCGTAGGCGCCCGCAGATCCCGAAAGCCAGCGCGGGCGTGCATGGTGTGGACGGGTCCTCCGCGGCCCTCCCCAGGCTGGTGCCGCGGCGCCCAGCCGTCGATGTCCGGAGTCCCCGCACACTCTCGCCGGCGGCCGGGCGCCCGCTGCCAGTCCCAGGGGCTGGACCAGCGAGAAAAGGCGGAGTGGGAGGGGCCCGGCCGCCCAGCCCTTCTTCCCGGAGACGCGCCTTTGGCAGACCCAGAACTGCGCCCGGCCCCCCATCAATTATGCAGCGTGCGGCCAGCCCCGAGGCGTTCGGATCACCGCTGCAGCCTCCGCTCCGCATCTTCCCCGCCTCCACGCTCGCGGCTCCATCGGGACGCGGAGGGCGCTCGCCGAGACGCCGGCAGGTGCTATCGAGCCCATCTCCCGCGGGAGAGGTGAAGTCGCTGACTATCCCGCACAGTTATCTACAGGATTCACTTGTTTACGCTGAAGGGACAGTTTTCTGCGCCCTCGGACCTCCGTGGGCATCCTGATCAAGATGCCTAACGTTTGCGCTCGCGAATGGCGCTATCCACTCGCCCGGCGCCCTGCACTCATCGCTCTGTGCTCGGCTTCCAACTACACACAAGCTCTCTCCTCCAGTCTCTGAAGGCTTAACCGGTTCTCTCCAGATTGAGGTTGCCGAGTCCCAAGGCCCCACTGAGAGTTTTCCTTTTCCTTTTGTTTGCTTGCTTAACAGTTTTTGAGGAGCCACCCAGAGCTCAAAAAACAAAAGCTGCTGAAAGTAGATACTGTGTAAAAAGCACAAGCCTATTGACCTTTGTCAAACTCGAACACTGCTTAGGAGAATGCTGTTTCTAACTAAGCCTCCAAACTGTAGCTGGGAACTCTTAAGCGCTCCCAATCAAACAAATAAAACAACTGAAAACAATTGCTTTATCAAAGAGGAAAGGAATAGTCTGTGTTATAGCACGAGAGTAAAAAGAGCAGGATGCTAGAATACATTGATTTTTTTATATATATATTTCTCACGAGCCTTTTTTTCTGTCTCCCTTTGTTTTTCTTATGGCAGGTTTTATAGCCACCAACTCAGAATATTATCAGTATCCAGAAAAGGATATTAAAAGGAAATATCAGATACAATTTTTAAAACTTGAAGTACAAGAGCTATGCTCACTGCAGGCAGGAACAGTTAATTTTTAATGGGCATGTATTATTAAAATATTCCTCTGATCTGGTTTGACGTTATATAATAGGCAACACTTTGAAACAGTGTACATTGTTTAAATAGGTGTGGAGCGAATGCAATTCATTGAGCATTATTAAGTATTTACCTGTGCCAGACATTGGGTTCAAAATAGGCTTCATGGTGGCAGGATACAGGAGCACACATTTATACACGCATTAAGCCAGAAAGCTGTTTATGAAATACAATTCTAGAAAAAGATTCTTTTCAGTAAGAAAATTAAGGCCCTCTGAGAGATCTGAAACTTTTGCCTCATGGTCTTAAGACCTGGGCTGGGCTTGCTAAAACTCTATTGCTAAATCTTACTTCTGTCTTGCTACCTGAGTTTCAACAGTAAGCACTTCTCTAAACAAACAACTCTGACTGGCCTCCCAATTCGCTCTGTAAAATTCTTAAATTCAGAATTTACTTCAGACCTTATTTAAAGAAAAATTTTGTCAGTTGAGCCAGCCTGCTTGCAAACAGGAAAAGCCAAGTTGAGGCTAACTGCCAACTCTTGCTTTTGTTGTCATAGCAAAAATCTACTGAGAAAGAAATACAATTGTGTTTTGTTAAACACTTAGTTTTTCTTAACGTTACAGATTTGTGTTTAGACATTTGTTTTGATATTCCCAGTACACTTTTGAAATTGTGCATACTTTTTAAAACTAGCTTCTATGCTACTTTCTGTGGCTAGTTCTTTCTGATCTCCCTGTTTCAATAGACCTTCCCCAGCAGGGTGAATTAAATGTGGCCACAAAGGCTGTTAGAGTCTCATCAGCTTGAGGGGAGTTGTGGGGATAGGAGGGCCCCTGTTTCCTCTCCTCCAGTTGGGTGTGTTCACTGACGTACTGGATATTGCAGAATACTGTGCAAGCTTCCAGATCCAGACCACAAGACCTTCTGCCTCCTTTATCCTTGTTACAAGACTTGCCAGGAGAGCAATGTCCAGCTGTGAAGCACACCCAAGACCCTCTGAAAAGCCCCAACCATGCAAAAAGTGGGCAATGATGAGATCCCATGTGGACAAAGAGGATCTGAGGAGTAGAAACAGGCTAGATTTATTAGGGACCCTTCAGACAAGTCCACCCATAGCTGAGTAATGCACAATTGTCCAAGTTGACCTTCATAAAGCAAAATAATTATCCAGCTGAGCCCTAATTCACACAGAAGTGATAGTATGATTTTATTTAAAGATTTATTTATGCTTACAGAACTGGGGTACAGGCCAGAGGTGTGGAGTGTGAGAGGATTCACCAGAGATAGAGTGGGGAGCAGAACGGGCAGACTGATGAAGTACACTGCTGAGGGGAGCAACAGGCAAGTCAGGAGAGGTCTGCCACACCATGTGGTCAGCTCCCTGGCCAGGGATTGAACTTGTGCTGCAGTGGCTTTGGAGAGCTTCACAATGTGGTGCCACCAGGGAGAGCCCCTGTAGTATAATTATTTTAAACCACTAAATTTTGAGGTAACTTGTGTCACCACAGTGAATAAATAGAAATCTCTGAACCCATACTGTACATGGGACTAAAGTAACAATAATTTACAGATTTGTGACTTGACTATCATTGCTTGTGGGTTCCTATGAGTTGGCCACTCATGGACAACTGTGACCTACTTACTAGCACAAATCACAGCAGAACATTCTCGACTACTTTGACAGTATAACTTGTATCCCAAGACAGGCCTGAGGACACCTAAGCTGCTGTTGACCTGATTACCTGATTATCTCTATAGCAGGCTTGGGATAACTCTGCCTGAGATAATATACACATGGTCACAATGTCCCTTTCCCTTGTAAAACTTTGCCCCCATTCCTATCCTACCCTCTGGATCCTATTCCTCATACCATTGCTGCATGATCAGCTTTGACTAGTCTGTCTGATCTCAATAAATCGCACAAGAACTTCTGCTCAAGCAGCAGAGTCTTGCCTTGCAAACCGGCTCCACAACTGCTGTGTCTCTCATGGCATTCCCACTGTCCCTCATGACATTCCCGCTGCAAAGCAGCAGAAAGTTCCTGTCGCAACAATTACTGGCTTCAATTTCCATTTAAATATTTTATTGTTATTTATCTTATGTGATGATATCTTTTTACCCAACTATATTACAATTCTTCTAAATTCCTGGAAATAGTTCTATAAATCTTTATAGTCCCTGCAGTGTCTTTAAAAAGTTGTACATTTTTATGTTTTTTACTTATTAGAACAGCAGTACAGGGAAAACTTTTTTCCTAAAACTTGTGTTTGTAAAATAATGTATAAAAAATCTTTGTATTTCTTTCTTGTAGGATATAAGCTGTCATCGAATGAAGAAATTTGTGGCACAGTGCTAGGGAACTATGAAATGAGAACAAGAATGTGGCTATCACTTCTTATTGAAAATACTATTTTATTTAAAAATCTTATTGGAGAAAAGCATTATGTTAGTGTATGAAGCACTAAAAATAAAGGTGAGAATTTGCTAGCGATCACTACTAATAAGCAAACAAAAAAATACCAATGCGAGTCATGAGATGTAATAGGCTAAATTCTTCAGTACTCCCAAGGTTCCTGCCCTCTTCGCCACACATCCTTACTCCCTTTGTATATGTGCTGCTGAAGTGAGCACATCCTGGCTCCTTTTGAATGTGGATAGGGGGCTCATGAATATGATGGATAGTAATTACCCTGATTAGGTTAGTCAAATTTAGCAGGTTGGAGGAGATATTTCTAGTGAGACTGATGCCCTCATTCTTGTCTGAAGATGCAAATAGCCACACTGGGAACTCAATGTTCATGAATGGAGGTACTGTCAGGAGCTGAGCCCCTCAGTCCTACAATCCAAAGGAACTGAATTCTGCCAGCAACCAGTGAGCTGGAAGAGGCCCCATAGACTTGATGTCTGAGTATCAGTTCCAACCAACAGCTTTAGCCCCAACCAACCAAACTGGCAAGACCCTGAACGGAGAACCCAGTTAACCCATGGAATTTGTATTGAACTTCTGACCCATGGAGTCTATGAGATCATGTATTTATGTTAAACTAGGTGTGTGCTCATTTTTCATAAAGTAATGGAAAAGTGTGCCCATCAGATGTAATTGCAATTATATTGAACCAAAATAATTATATTTTAGAACAAGATCATAAGTGAATATGGAAGGGAAAGCTCTTTGTCACCTCTGTATGTGAAGAATGAATGAAAAGTGTTAGCTACTCTAAAAGATATATATACATATATATATATAATCATGTGTGTACATGTACATATTTGTATATATAAACATATCCATGTATACATATGTGTATATACTGTATCTGTATATGGAAAATATATGCATATGTAAACATGGATATATACATAGATATATACATATATCACACATATCTAAAGCTATGTGTCTAGCAACAGGGATACATTCTGAGAAATGCAATGTTAGGGACTTTTGTCATTGTGGCTCATAGATTCATATAATGCAATTATATGCTGTAAAGCATACTACATACCTAGGATATCTAAGTAAGTACCACCATTGTTGAAGTCTGCTATTGACTAAAATGTTACATGCAGTATGAAAGTCACTACATAGATGATGATGATAAAGTTAAGACGATAGACAGATAGATAGATATATTAGATTATTGAAGCAATGTATGGAATTTAAGTCTACCACTTCCCAGAGGGTAAATCATAAATTAGTCTAAATCAGTGACTGTAATTTCATCTTCCTTAATGTTGGTGTATTTAAGATGGAATCAATGAGATAAAAGAACAATCTGCTTTAAAGTGTTTCCCTCATCAAAAAGAAAGTCTCAGATAGAAACCGTTTACCTCCTTCTTAACTTCCTTAAACACAGCCTGGATCAGTGGTAGCAACGATATGATCGTTTGGTGACTAACAAACATTTTCAAGAGCAGCAAAGAAGGAAGGTGACATCATTGAGCGCTGCACCAGCTCTGAGACACCTGACTCCAGACCTGTGTAAAACAACTGCTAGTCCCCATACTAATCTTTGGGCTTTTCACTATTGGTGGTTGGATGTACTGTTATTTGGTCCAGGACTTACTGGATTTGCCTTAGTTTAATTTTTTAAAAGTTTTACTGTATCTTGGAACCCCCACTGTCTCCACACAGGAGACTCATTCCTCCTCGCTTTAATGACTCAGATGTAAGGAAAATAGCTGATACCTAAAACCTTTCATGATAATAATCTTACATAACTCTAACTTATCTTTCAGCATCTTCCCATAACCAAACTCCACTCATCCTGAAATACTTGGAGTTCTCCCAGAGTTGGCTGCCTTGTGTGCTTCATTGATTAATTTCTCATTCTGTCCTTTCCTTTTTCAGTATGTGGAATAACTTTGTCGATAAATTTGCTGCCTACTTCTCATTTAAATTTCTGTGTGTCCCTTTTTCTAGAAAATTCTCTT